TCCATGTCAAAATTCCCAACTTGCTTGGAAATGTCCTTTGGGGCCTCAGGTGCCAGGTGAGAACGTGGAGACTGAGGTTTAAACTCCATGTGGGTGAAGGATGCCTCATTCCTGTCCTGGACAGGCTTTAATTTCCCACTGGGAATTTCTCCTTTTGAGAGCATCAACCATTTACCAGGGGCTGGAATAATGTCCTTTAAAGATTCCTGTCAATCTAAACTATTCCATGGCTTTATGAACAGTTGTACTTCTCCAGTCCCACAGCAAATGTGGGGCTGTTCCTCTTCTCCAGGGAAAGGGTTCTTCCAGATGTCCCTCAGAAAGCTCTGAGCTTTTCCATGCTCCCAGTTCCCATTCAAGACTCAACGTTCCTGAAAAGCCTCCTCAGGAATCTTCTGCAAAGCAGGAAAGGTGGAGAGAACTGAGCCCATCTGGGGGTCTGACTGTGCCAGGCTCTGTTCTTGTCACCCTGTCRTTGTCCAAGGAAAAGGAGGGATAAGCAGGTGGAAACAAGGGCAGGAGCATGTCCCACAAATCCCAGCACAGAKCACACCCCCAAGAATGAGATGGTCCAAATGGGACAAACACAACTGGAAAATGTGCTGCACTGCAGGGCCAGGAGATTCCAGCTCCTTCTCCCTAATTACATGTGATTGCTTCTTGGCAAGAGCTCAACCTGCCAGAGCAGTGAGGTTTTACAAACATTCACACAGGCATTAGATCATTGTTTGAAGGAGTTATTGGCAGCCCAAATCTGAAGTAAAAACAGAGTTTAAAGCAGACCATATTGACCAGGGTGAAACTGGCTGCTTCCATGTCTCCTGCTTGTCTCTGGACACCCAGGACCCCCTTTGTTTCCTGTCACTCCCATCATCATGGCATTCCTGGGGCTGGATGTCACCAWCTTGGGAGGTTCTGGCCTTTTTAGGAACACAGGTTTATAAAATCAAGAATCCCAGGATGGTTTGGGTTGGAGGGACCTTAAATCCCATCCAGTGCCACCCCTGCCATGGGCAGGAACACCTCCCACTGTCCCAAAGGGCTCCAAGCCCTGTCCAGCCTGGCTGTGGGCACTTCCAGGGATCCAGGGGCAGCCACTGCTGCTCTGGGCACCCTGTGCCAGGCCATCCCCACCCTCACAGGAACAAATTCCTTCCCAATATCCCATCCAACCTTGCCCTCTGGCAGTGGGCAGCCTGTCCTGGCACTCCAAGGCCTTGTGAGAAGTCCCTCTCCAATATTTATTTCTCTAAATCCAAGAAACACCTTCTCACATCCACACATTGGGAACGAGGCCTTTTCCTTCTGTATTTTAACAGAATCTTTCTGCTTTGCTCTCGTCTCTGCTGGGCCAATCTAAAAGCACAGAATGAGCTCTGGAGAGCTTTGCCATTCTCTCCCAAAACCTTTGGGGAAGCAGACGGCGGCTCAACCCCATGGCAAAGAACAAATGGGAATTGCCATGGAATCCTGCTGCCAGTTCCTGGGAGAACAAACTCCTGCTGCAGAGCTGAGTCTGTCCTGCAGAACGCTCAGGTGGGGCTGGGAGCCTCTGGCAGCTCAGATATGGATAAAAATACTCCAGGCTCTGGCAGCCAACCAGGCTGGAGCTCCTCACAGAGCAGCTCCCACCCCGGAGCCCTGGAGGACACCCTGGCCTTCCACGTGTTCCTAAATTAGATCTCCTGAGACCAGCCTTGGCTTTTAAGAGGGAGGTGAGCTTGTTAGTGCCCAGCATTATCCATTAAACGGGAATCAGAGATTTTATTGGACTGGGAGGGGCTGTAAAAGGGAAGGAGGGAAGGGGCACAGCGTCAGGAAGCAGCGGAGCCACTTTGCCTGGCACAGAGAGGGGCACTCTCTCAGGAGTTCTGTAATTGTGAAGTTCTCCAATGCTGAGGTAGAATAAGCCCCAAGGAAGGTGCAAGGAGACCCAGACAAGGTTTGAAGGGGCAGCTTCCCTTCTCCTGAGGCCAAAACCCCGAGCTGGAAAGGGTCTAAGCGAGGATTGCCAAGCTCCCCACCCAGGAAAGGCAGGGTGTGCAGGCTCCTTTCTTCCCAAACCATGGCTTGAGTTCCACACCCTGTGCTGCTGGCACATTAAACCCAGGGAAGGCACATTACAGGAGCAGAAAAGCTCCTGTGCTGTCAGAGATTCCCTTCCACCCTTCCCTTCCATTCCCTATCATGGATACCTGCTGGAAAATGCTCTCGTGACACTCTGCTCCACGGCTGCCTTGGCTGAGAGGATTTATTGGTAATTCTGAGTGTTCCCATAATCCCAGACAGCTCCTGTCCTGTCCCAGAGATAAAAAGAAAAAATTAATAAATAAATAATCAAAAGKGGTGTCTTAATTACAGAGAAAACTGCAGAATCTGAACATAAATGATGGRAAAAAAAGTGTGAAATTTGAGAGCTGCCAGGCATCAATTAAACCTCTCCTGCCAAGGTAATTTTTTAATCAGAACCCAAAATCAAAGGAGAAAACAAACACAAATGACACAGAAACCATCCTGGAAAAGCTCTCAGGAATCTGCCATCACATTTTAGAAAGAATGGGGAATTTCTGCTTCTTTGAACTGATTTTGCAGTGCAAACCTGATGTTGCAGCAGTGGCTTTAGGAAAATCTGAACCAACAAAAAGCTTCAAGACCTTTTTGAATATTAACCAGTCCCACTCCCTGGGAGGGTTTAGTGATTCTTGTCACCCTAAAATATGGGAATTTTGTAGGAGAGCTGCTGTCCTTCCTAAGGTCAGACATGATGAGATGGAGCCAGGAAGAAAAATAATTGGTCCYGGTTTTAAGTGTTAAGCAATTCTGCCTCCCTGAAATAAGCAGTATAATTTATTGTTTTTTTCTTGCTCACACAGCAAAATCCACAAACTGCCAAGACAATCGAGAGGGGAAATTTGTCCCCTTCATGTAAATCTCTTTTTGCCTTGTAAAGCTGCTTTCCCAAGCCAGCAGCTGCTCCAAAGGGCCCATCCCAGACCCCCCATTTCACTCCAGACACCCCAGAGGCTGTTTGGGTTATAGGATCACCCCAGGACAGCCCAGGTGTTCATCCCAGCCAGTTTGGGATCACGGAATGGATGCACCAGAGCCGATTGTCAGCGTGAGGCCGAAAGGAGCAACCACTTTCCCAGAGATTTTCCCTTTGCTGTGTGTTTGGAAGGTTACACAGCTGTAATTCAGCCACAGGAGGAGCTGGAAGCCTGCAGGGATCATTGCTTCCATCCCACACGTCCTATGGAAGGAAGCTCTCCCGTGGACTGACATCCCATTAACTCCTGCTGGTGGGAGCCTATTCCTGGGGCTGAAAATCCTTTGGAGCTTCCAACTGCTKCTCGCTCATCCCGCAGATAACTCCGCTCTCATCCTTGACCTGGTGACTCGTATTTATTTGCTCGTTTTATAAGAACCAGGCTCTTCCCTGCTCTAATTCCTGGTGCGAATGAACACTGGCCGAGTGTGAGGCTGCTCGTCTCAGATACTCAGAGACAGAAAATTGGGATTTTGTCCAACATTCTGTCTGTCTTCCTGGGAAAAAACCTCGGCTCTACACGCTCCCAATTGTGCCATCAGCTGGAGCGAGGTGGAATTTCACTTGATGGGATGAACCAGCCCTGTTCCAAAAAGACCTGCGAGGATGGAAAGGGCTTCCAGGGCCCAGCAAAGAACAGGGAAGGAAATCTGGAGGGTACAAAGCCWGGCAAAGTTAGGGAAAGGCCTCGGTGCTCTCTGGAAGGTGGCAGATCTCACCTAGGTCCCCATCAAATCCCAGGGATGGGGTATTGGGGATGCAATTCCTTCCTGGAAGAGTGGTGAGGCCCTGGCACAGGTTCCCAGAGCAGCTGTGGCTGSCCCTGGATCCCCGRAAGTGTCCAARGCCAGGTCGAACGGGGCTTGGAGCACCCTGAGCTATGGCAGCTGCCCCCGGCCATGGAAGGGGTGGCCCAGAACGATCTTTAGGGTCCTTTTTTTTATCCAAAACCGTTCGTGTGTCCCAACCTCTCCCGCCATCGCCTCGGCCCTCAGGGGCCGCGCCCCAGGGTCTCCCGGCCCCGCATGCAGGGGCTGCGGGCGGCGGGGCGCGCGAGGAACAGCTGCGCATGCGCACAGCGCCCCCCGCCGGAGCGCGGGAAGGCAGCGACGGGCGGGCGCCGCCAGAGGGCGCTGTGAGGGCAGCGGGGCTCCGGTGTGAGGGCTGGAACCGCCCGGGGCTCCGGTGTGAGGGCTGGAATCTCTCCCGGGGCTCCGGTGTGAGGGCTGGA